ACCAGAGTCTCATAACACAAACACCAAGAGTAAGCAGGGTATCATAACCCAAACTCCAGCAGTAAGCAGGGTATATTACACCAGCAGTAAGCAGGGTATCATAACCCAAGCACCAACAGTAAGCAGGATATCATAACCCAAAACACCAGCAATAACCAGAGTCTCATAACACAAACACCAAGAGTAAGCAGGGTATCATAACCCAAACTCCAGCAGTAAGCAGGGTATATTACACCAGCAGTAAGCAGGGTATCATAACCCAAACTCCAGCAGTAAGCAGGGTATCATAACCAAAACACCAGCAGTAAGCAGGGTATCATAACCAAAACACCAGCAGTAAGCAGTGTATAATAACCAAAACATCAACAGTAAGCAGGGTATATTACACCAGCAGTAAGTAGGGTGATTACACCAGCAGGGTATCATATAAATACATTATGAAATGCTAATTAATTATGCAGCAAATATGAAAAGTAATGATTTTGTATATATATGATTTAAACTTTGCCACAGAAATAGTTTAAAACTGTATAATTTAGTTTCTAGGCCTAACACTGCGTAAAACGAAAACCTTACATTCAATTGATAACTAAAATGACTACAAAACTAATATTTCTAATTATTTGACAAAAAGTATTTTGTTTCAATAACAAATGAGCCAAAATAGAAGGGGTGAATTAAAATAAACTGCTCCTTGCAAAAATTCATCATCTACATGTTTAAAAGTTAGGGTTAAAATGATCGATAAGTCCAATTCAATAGATAAAGGGATTTAATGATAACGTTTTGAATGTGTAGATAATGCAATTAGAACTATCCAAGTGACAAATTGAAACGAATGTACGGAAGATGGTGTCCTACATTTTATTTTAATCCAAAATAAGTTGTTATACTGATAGTCAATACAGTCTCCTTGACAACCTCACCTCGAAAAATAGGCAAAGAAATACAAAGGATGTGGGCTAGACATAATATTTATTTTTTCTAAGTTAAAACTTCTCTGTATAATTTATAAAAGCTATAAAGTTTATTGTTAGAAATTTATGAATTAATACTAGATTATATATTTTACTTTAACATTAGCTTATTCTGTGTTTTATGAATGTGAACTGGTGTTGTAGCCCACCATGACTGTAGTGTTTAACATCAACTTGTGTTGTAGGTATTCAAGCACCAGAGCCCTAGGTGTGTTGTTTTTAACCCAGATTTTTAAATTTATTTTTACAATGTAAGTTTTAAAAAAAAAACACATTCATTGAATGACTACAAAATATTTTAAAGTTAAAACATCACAATCACTGAATGACTATAGAAAGGGTCAGTATTCTTTAGGTATGTTTTTACCTTTGTTTGGCCAGAAAGGGTCAGCTGTAGTTTGTTTAGTTCTACAAGTTTCTGATTGAGCAGGATATTGAGGTAGTCTGCTCTATCCTGATTCTGTTTGGCTTTGCTCTCCGCTTCCTCAACACGCTTCTTCAGGCGGCTTGTCTCTCCACTGCTTGGTGAACTCTGAGAACAAGAGTTTAATCCTTCTGAGAACTGAATTCTATTAAAGTACAGCCACCTTAGGTTAAAATAATAAGATTGTATGCTCTATTAGAAACACAAGAAACTTAAGACTTGTTGTTTTTATTTACTCTTACAAAATAAGGAAATCCAGTTTATAACTATACTAGATTTGCTTTTACTTTTATCTAGACTTACAAAATAAACAGGTTAAGATAAGTAACGTTAAAACTACTGATATGAACAGTAGAAGTAAAGTATTGACACGATATAAGTAATGTATATAGAAATAGATAAAACCTACTGACATGAGGTAAGTAATGTATATAGTAATAGATAAAATCTACTGACACGAGGTAAGTAATGTATATAGAAATAGATAAAATCTACTGACACAAGGTAAGTAATGTATATAGAAATAGATAAAATCTACTGACACAAGGTAAGTAATGTATATAGTAATAGATAAAATCTACTGACACAAGGTAAGTAATGTATATAGTAATAGATAAAATCTACTGACACAAGGTAAGTAATGTATATAGAAATGGATAAAACTTACTGACTGGAGGTAAGTAATGCTTACTTCACCTACACTTACAAAAAGCGAAGAAGCATATTGGAATGAGACTAAGTTCTCGTTGGTCTTGTTAACATCTACAAAGACATCTCAACCACACTTAAATTATAGACACATACAAGTTGAGAGTTGGATCAAGCTGGCTTCTTGATTGTATTCTCACAAACAGAATGATTGTATTTGTACTTACAAGTGGAGATTCAAGCCATGCCAAGTTTCTGTTGGTTTCCAATACGTCGTCTTGGCTGCTGACACTGCAGATGTTTTCGGAGCTCTTCAGTCGTATACAGAGTTCCGAGTTTTCTCTTCGTAAGCGGATCAGCTCTTCCTCTTGACATGCAACTTTTATATTCAGTTCAGCTAACTGACAATCAGCTTCCTGCAAAAAGACAGGAAAATAAAAGCTGCTGAGGTGAAATGAATAACAGGTGTAGACAAAAACTACTGACATGATGTAAAGAATATATATATATAGGAGTAGATAAACTTACTGACATGATGTAAAGAATATATATAGGAGTAGATAAACTTACTGACATGATGTAAAGACTGTGTATAGGAGTAGATAAACTTACTGACATGATGTAAAGACTGTGTATAGGAGTAGATAAACTTACTGACACGATGTAAAGACTGTGTATAGGAGTAGATAAACTTACTTACACAATGTAAAGACTGTGTATAGGAGTAGATAAACTTACTGACACGATGTAAAGAATGTGTATAGGTGTAGATAAACTTACTGACATGATGTAAATAATATATATAGGAGTAGATAAACTTACTGACACGACATTCTTTACATCATGTCAGTAAGTTTATCTACACCTATACACATTCTTTTCACCATGTCAGTAAGTTTATCTACTCCTATACGCAGTCTTTACAGTGTAATAATATCAATGTGCATGTATGGTTCACTATATACAGGTGTGTAATAATATCAACGTACATGTACGGTTCACCTTTTCGTATACCTACACACATTCTTTACATCATGTCGGTAAGTTTATCTACTCCTATACACATTATTCACATCATGTCAATAAGTTTACTCCTAAACACATTCTTTACATCATGTCAGTAAGTTTATCTGCTCCTATACACATTCTTTACATCATGTCAATAAGTTTATCTACTCCTATACACATTCCTTACACCATGTCAATAAGTTTTATCTACTCCTATACACATTCTTTACATCATGTCAATAAGTTTATCTGCTCACAAACAGATTCTTTACATCGTTTCAGTAAGTTTATCTACTCACAAACACATTCTTTACATCATGTCAATAAGTTTATCTATACCTATACACATTCTTTACATCATGTCAATAAGTTTATCTACTCCTATACGCAGTCTTTACATTGTGTCAGTAAGTTTATCTACACCTATACACATTCTTTACATCGTGTCAGTAAGTTTATCTACTCACAAACAACGGTTCACTATATACAGGTACATGCACATTGATATTATTACACTCCTGTATATAGTGAACCACACATGCACATTGATATTATTACACTCCTGTATATAGTGAACCACACATGCACATTGATATTATTACACACCTGTATATAGTGAACCACACATGCACATTGATATTATTACACACCTGTATATAGTGAACCGTACATGCACATTGATATTATTACACACCTGTATATAGTGAACCGTACATGCACATTGATATTATTACACACCTGTATATAGTGAACCGTACATGCACATTGATATTATTACACACCTGTATATAGTGAACCGTACATGCACATTGATATTATTACACACCTGTCTAATTTCATGTATTCTTGCAGCAATTTTTTCAGCTTGTATCTTTTCTAGTTCTTCTATTTTCTTTGAATGTTCCTGTTGTGTCTCCTCACTCTTCAAACGGAGATACGATAGAGACTGAATAAAATGTTTAATGATTTGGTGTTATTAAACGTTACATCACTTCCTTTGGAAACAAAATGATCATTTTTTTTATTTTTCACATGCTGTATTACAAAGTGTTAATCTGTACACCATGACTTCTGAATACACCTTAACACAGATTGCATTGAATGCTTGAAATTTTCTAAGCCTAAAACCCTTAGAGATTGCCTTCAGACAACACCAGTCTTGGATATTTAAATGGCACAATAAAACATAGAAAAAAGAATAGATGGAAAATTAATAGCTCAAAGACAGAAAACTACGTGGTAGAACAACAGGTGGAGATCGCTCAAAGACAGAAAACTAACTACGTGGTAGAACAACAGGTGGAGATCGCTCAAAGAGAGAAAACTAACTACGTGGTAGAACAACAGGTGGAGATCGTTCAAAGACAGAAAACTACGTGGTAGAACAACGGGTGTAGATCGTTCAAAGGCAGAAAACTACGTGGTAGAACAACAGGTGGAGATCGTTCAAAGACAGAAAACTAACTACGTGGTAGAACAACAGGTGTAGATCGTTCAAAGACAGAAAACTACAACATGGGGAAGTGTGCGAATATCAGGTTATAATTCACAGCATGGTAGTTTAAGAATTATAACCCAGTTGTTACATTCACAGCATGGTAGTAGTGAATTATAACCCAGTTGTTACATTCACAGCATGGTGGTACTGAATTATAACCCAGTTGTTACATTCACAGCATGGTAGTTTAAGAATTATAACCCAGTTGTTACATTCACAGCATGGTAGTACTGAATTATAATCCAGTTGTTACATTCACAGCATGGTAATATTGAATTATAACCCAGTTGTTACATTCACAGCATGGTGGTACTGAATTATAACCCAGTTTTTACATTCACAGCATGGTAGTACTGAATTATAACCCAGTTGTTACATTCACAGCATGGTAATATTGAATTATAACCCAGTTGTTACATTCACAGCATGGTAATATTGAATTATAACCCAGTTATTACATTCACAGCATGGTAGTACTGAATTATAACCCAGTTGTTACATTCACAGCATGGTAGTACTGAATTATAACCCAGTTGTTACATTCACAGCATGGTAATATTGAGTTATAACCCAGTTGTTACATTCACAGCATGGTAATACTGAATTATAACCCAGTTGTTACATTCACAGCATGGTAGTACTGAATTATAACCCAGTTGTTACATTCACAGCATGGTAGTGCTGAATTATAACCCAGTTGTTACATTCACAGCATGGTAATATTGAATTATAACCCAGTTGTTACATTCACAGCATGGTAATATTGAATTATAACCCAGTTGTTACATTCACAGCATGGTAATATTGAGTTATAACCTAGTTTTTACGATCACAGCATGGTAATACTGAATTATAACCCAGTTGTTACATTCACACCATGGTAGTACTGAATTATAACCCAGTTGTTACATTCACAGCATGGTAATATTGAGTTACCATATGAAAGAATAGTCGAAGGTTAAAGTTTTAGATTTCGTTTACAGATTATATTCTGATCTCTATAATAACACCTGAACTACCTGACGTAAGTGTGTGAGCCTTCTGTCTACGTCACTACGACAGCGTTCCGCTGATTTGAAGAACGAGTAGGTGGGCCAGTAATCCGCCATACTCCTTAATGTACGGTGACCTTTTCTCACCCCCTTTGTTGATTAACGTGTGACGAAGATAAACCTTACGGTAATCTCACTATATTAAGACTAAATACAGTTAAATCTTTTAAAATATGGTGATTCACACAGTTCAAACGTTCTCTGCTCGTGATGCCCATGCTTATGTTTGCACCTCATCGCACGTGACACGTATCCTTTAAACAAGAACAACTTGGCAAATCGCCAAACATATCTAGTTTTACTATATCTATCACCTACGGATGTCATGGCAACCTTGACGTCAAGTGTATGAAAAACACAAAACCGAATAGTTATGTCCTGCTCAGGTACTGAACAGGGAAAGACACGAAATCTTTTAATTCACATGGAAAATAATTGTTTATACGTGAAAGCGTGTCCACTGGTGGGAAGTTTACGTACTAACAATGCTGAAATCTAGGGTTAGATTCTCCTCAGTGGACAGTAGATACACCCGGAAACATTTGATGAAATTCTCATATCGCAATCATATATAAGTATAATATTCAACTATAAATTTGTAACGACCGGCAGATGTCAGGCCAGTTGCAGAAACATGGCTGACGTATATTATACGGGATGGGCTTATTCATACATACATACCTGAGCGTCGTGCAGTAGATAAACCATAATCTTTGGAACCTGAGTGTGCAAAGAAAAGTAATATTTAAGACTAACTATTCCCTTCTTATAAAGTACTCACTCTTACGCCACTATTTGACAAAGTTTGTGAATATGTTCGCTTATAACTGGCGAACCGCTGGACCCGTTGTCACAAAACTTAGCATGTAGTTTTAGAGTCCTCCCAGAGAGTGTTCTAAAGATGTTGACGCTCGGTACTGGCTATCCCTAATGTCACCCCTGAACTCCCACGTCTTCCCCATGCATTGTGTCCGCTTATGACTGGCGAAGTTGCTGGAATAACCACCAATCCTGGAGCAACCCCCATATGTTAGCCTTGGGGGACTCTATGTCTTTCTGGTGTTTTGTTCGTGTTTGTCCCCCGGTGGGACAGCGGTAAGTTATCGGATTTACAATGCTAGAATTAGGGGTTCGATTCCCCTCGGTAGACACAGTACATAGCCCAATGTGGCTTTGCTATAAGAAAAACACAAACACACACACACTAGAGCTTAATATTTTAGTTTCCTTATATAAAAAGTTGCACAGTGAAATATCTATGACGTGCTCACTGCAAGGATCAAACTCCGAATTATATCTTTATAACCTTCTTGCTAACCGTGAGCCAATGGGGGTGTAGCCACGAACACATTGTTATTCAATGAGTGGGCATCTTTTAAAGACACGGGCATCTCCGTAAAGTCTCTCATAAACGCTACTGTAAATTGGTTTATACGAAACTGTAGTACACTGACATATTAGTCCTTGTGAAGTAACGTTCTGTGAAAATAGGTAATGCACTAACTACTCTTTCCCGAGGACGACACTTCGTTACTCTTTCTAAATTTTTATTATTTCTTAGTCATTCTAAAAACCAAACTACCGTTAGTCCTTCTAAAACCAAACTACCGTTAGTCTTTCTAAAAACCAAACTACACTTAGTCCTTCTAAAAACCAAACTACCGTTAGTCTTTCTAACAACCATACTACCGTTAGTCCTTCTGAAGAACTAGCTACCGTAGTTATTTTTCAAAATTTACTAATGTTAATCCATCTCGACAATTAATGTTGTTTCTCCTAAAAAAGTTAACTCTCGTTACTGCTTCTGGAGAACACTCCACATGGAGAACCAGCTATTGTTACTTGTTTTAGGTAACTTCTTTTGAAGAACTAACTACCGTTACTCCTTCTGGAGAACACTCCACATGGAGAACCAGCTATTGTTACTTGTTTTAGGTAACTTCTTTTGAAGAACTAACTACCGTTACTGTGTTCTCCAGGAGGAGTAACGGTAAGGTGATTAACGGTAGTTAGTTCTTCAAAAGAAGTTACGTAAAACAAGTAACAATAGCTGGTTCTCCATGTGGAGCGTTCTCCAGAAGCAGATTATAATAACAAAATAAATTATATAAGATACTAAAGTTCATTTTTTAATCCACAGATTTCGCTAGTATTCGTATTCATGTTCTAAACCTTCCATTTTTAAGCTTACCTTAATCTCTTTTTCCAGTTCCACGATTTGACTGTCTCTCTCTTCAATCACAGAGTCTTTGTGATAATTTTGTTTTGTTAGATCTTCTTGAACTTTCAATAGATTCATCCGCAGCTCGATGTTTTCTTCCGTTGTCGATTCTACTTGTTTCTCAAGCTGTTCCATCTTTCTGTCTCCTTCTTGTAACAGTAACTTTAATTTTTCCATTTCCCTTAGAAGTTCTTCAGCTCCTTCCTTACTTAAGCCTTCTTCTAGTGTTTTGGAATAATGCTGCACGAAAAGGCAAGAAATAATTATTTAATCTTTACTTTTCGTGCACTCAACTTTTTCAGCACAGAAACGCCCTTTACAAATATTCTGAAACTTTTTATTAAAGTACTTCAATTATTGGGCGTTGTTTTAATGTTTTCTTCATTCACTTGTACAATAACTTAAAACCAATAAATTTGGAAAATTACTACATCGAATTAATCACAGGTAAACTCATATTTTTCTCGTTTTTTTTTCTTCATTTCTTTTTATATCGTTCATCAGTCACACAACAATTTCCAACATGAAACTGCAAACTGCTAAACTTACAATTTGTTTTATCCGCTAGGCGATGGTTTATTTGTTTACACATAAAATAATAAAGAAGAAAAATATAGAGAATTCTCAGCGGTATCGGTAAGTTAAGACAAAAGCGTACTGAATTAAGCCTAACTTACACTGAATAAATATATATATATATATATATGAATTAAGCCTAACTTACACTGAATATATATATATATATGAATTAAGCCTAACTTACACTGAA